TCAAGCGTTCAAATGTTCAAGCTCAAGCGCTCTCGACTTGTGTCTAAGTTACGCTTGGTGCGTTCAGCGACAAAACACGTGACGTAAATAATTATTCAGTCAGATTATCAGACGCATCCATTTCCTGCGAATACCGTTTTAACAACTTTCTTGTCTGGCTTCCCGCAACTACAAGATACGCAGCAAGCGAACCAATAGCAAGGCCAATAAAACTCCAACTCATCCGGTTGTAATTAATATCTTCCTGACTTTTGGATTTCTGCGAGTGAACTAAAGCTTTGGGCCAAGAAGGTATCAGTGACCAGAGTGAGGAAGAGGATGGAGCAAATTGAATGGGGGAGTGTCCCTCTTTGAATGCTTGAGTATATACTCGTTGCGCATAGGAAATAAGATTAGGATACGAATTGTTGATGAGATCTTTGATAAGTGGACCTGGAAAGGGCGGGTTCACCAAGAGAAGGATATGTGCCGCAATGATGACATCGAGGGATGAAAGCCTATCAAATTCAGTTAAATCAACCGTCTGAACGTGGCCGCGCCAGGGGCGTACCGGTTTTGAAAAACGTATTCCTTGCCACTCAACAGCTGATTGTATATTTCAAGTTCTGCTCGTGCCTTCTCTGTTACCTATACACAACATTCAGGGATATGGCCAAAAAAAAGGAACATATGTACCTTTTCGCGTTGGAAGGCTTGAGATACCGTCGTGTTTGACTTGATATTTCCAGTAGGCAAGCTTTTCTGTTGGCTCTGGAAAGACTTTTCTGTGGTATTTTCCTCTAAAGGAATAGTCCAAAGTCCAACGGCTTCAAGCCTCGGTATGTAAGTATCTCGTATTCGGCGAGGCACGTAGTACTTTTGTGGCACAGGAAACATGGAAGCCAACGAGGGATGCGTCAAATTTACCCAGTTTTCATTGCTTGCATAGAGAGTGTGGGACTAACCAACACCTTCAGAACGAAATTAATAAGAAACAGGGGGACGAACCACCAAGTCACCCAAATGTAGGCCGGCATGGGAAGACCAAGCGCTTCTTTTAGATTTTTCGGAAGGCGTGAGGTGGGCGTCAAGGTTGGCGTTGGAATAAGTGGCATGTTCTGAATTGCTAAGCCCTGAGATGTATCTGATGATGGATGTACACGGAGCCACTACGTGCTGCTCATGAGTCAAGAATGGGAGCTGTCCTAGTTGTTCATGATTCGACTTCAAGCAATAGAATAAGACGCAAAGACCTACCAGTAGGTGATAAATCCGGGTATGAGCATTCCGCTACGCAGAATTGTCCTGGAATGGATAACTGCAGGTAAAGCAGAGCAGCTAGACATTGTGGGTCGAATGAAGGGAGGGCCCATTGGCCGGGCCATACGTGCAATACGATACCTGACGAGGGCAATGTGCAGTCATTCATGTCACCTAAGTAGGAACGCGTGAGTTGCAGGTGCTGATCAGAAGCTGAGATCAAAAAGCAACATATTTCATTGATAGCTAGATTCAAAGCCAAGTACAAAACAAACAACGTTAACACTACCAGAGCAGATAGCAAGCAAAAAAGACAGATTGGACAACAATATTAAAGCATATGTAAAGACAGCAAGGGAAAGCGAGAGGGTGACAACTGCCGACGAGTAGTTATGAAACAAGGAAAACTGGAAAACTAGAAAAGTGAAAGCATACGACAAGTAATTTGATAAGGAGAAAAAAGGTCATTTAAGTTGCATCGGTCTCCGAGCCTTCGGATGTATCAGCTGAACTGGGAATATGTGGCTTTGCCATTATTGGTGCTGAAACGTTGCGAGGCAAAAGGAATTGTGATTGTCCTTCGAACAGACCTTTTTGTCTGACTGTCCAGCTCATTGTCCTCCGCATCTCGGAAGAAGGACGGCGAGGACCTGAAGAATCCTGTAACGGGGAATTAAAAAATGCGAGTTAATAAAATTTCATCGAGAACACGAACGGGGTGAGGAAGTAAAGGCATAAGTCTGCGCTTCTTGTGTGGACTGGGGCTGGGTTCAAGACCGCTTAAAACGTGGGGAGGCAGACCAGCCAACCGATGAGTGGAAGATTTCTTAGGAGTAGGCTTGTCCCCAACAGAAATCCCTTGATCTTCCAAAAAGTCTGCAAACGATTACTTTCCAGGAATCAGGACGACAGATTTCATAATAAACATACCTGGTGAGCGATATCTGAATACAAAAGAAACGTATGTACTTGGTTTGGTAGCTCCTGGGACGTCTTGATCATAAGGAACCACTGACCACGTCGAGGCATGTTGTTCGAAGGTTTGCACCTCTTCCCCAAATCTAAGCAAATGTCTGTCAAACGACTATGTCATCAACTGGATTGAGATGGACGCTGACCCAATACAAAGATCTCCGACTTGACGCTTGCCTAGAACTGCAGGCGCTGGTAAGGGTTGGATACCATCTGGTGGTCGATTGACAACCCTTTTAATACGTTTTATTTTCAGGGTGATCATGCCGGCTTCTTTCGCTGCAGTTCGATGAGGAGATTCAGTGGCTAAGAGGAGATGTCAGTATTGCAAGGCAAAACAGAAGTAGTGGGATATACCAATCTCTGGTACTTTCTGAAACATAAAAGGCCGTTCGGTAGACTTGGATGCCCTGACGCCACCTCGCGAAGTGATACCCTGTCCGTAGAGAAACTTTCCCGGTACAACGAGCCCATCTAGTGTAATGAATCCGCAAGAGTCTACGTGTCCCCCATGGTCTTGCCAATAGACAACGAACCTCTACCTCATTAGATGACGATTCAGTTACAAGCCACTTGAGAATGTATTGAGGAACGTACATGACCCTCTGTACCAGGAATCCAACACGAGACGCAATGAGATCGTTCATCGACAGCGATGAGATATTCAGGTAGTGGCTCGCCATTTGATGATATCCATGCTGTGAAGCCACGATGGGTGACCATGTCGACGGGATTGAACCAGTAGCAGAACCTATGGGATATTTATACTACGAAGATATCAAGATGTGACGGCTTACCAGCAACTACAATGGAAACCACGACGCCCCGGCTACCGTGACGGGATCAAAGCCTACAGTTCATCATTTTCTCATACCGCATTAGGACATACTTACTACTATTAGCCTCAATGAAAGTTCGATCGCGTCAGTCACGTGAAATGAGTCACAATCGCGCCCTTGGTCACACATATTTGAAATAATGTTGTGGCTTCAAGGCTGCAGGGCCCTTACACAATTGGGTTATCTAAACAACCAATCCCTTACCTTTAGAAGCGCCTTTTTTGCTATGTCTGTATCTCGCAACTCCTCAAAGCGCAAAATTGATGTAGACAGTGACTTGGAAGACGGGCCTTCCTCCCAAATGACCGAAACACAGGAGTCGAATCAGTCACAAGCATCTCAGTCGTCAATAACAAAGAAAGCTAGAACCGACGCGACTCAGAAAACTCCAGAGTACACCAATAAAGTTCTACCTGTCAACATATCATTTCCTGCCCGTATCCAGGGCACATTGCGCATTGCAGCTTGGAACATTTGTGGTTTGGCTGCTAGCCAAAAGAAGGTACGTCAAATGCATACGTGGCTTTGTGGTACCTGATCCTTCTCAAAGGGATTCAAACATTATGTAGAGGCAGAAGATCCAGACATTCTTGTATTGACGGAGACCAAGGTGAGGCAGTAAAGAACCTAATTTCAAAACAATACTCATGTTAATCGCGTAACAGGTCAACGACGTACCCGTGGATCCAGCATTAAAACAAAGGTATCCTCATCAATATTGGTCGATATCCGAGAAGAAAACATACTGTAAAGTCTTCAACTTTCCCCTTATGCCGGCACCCAATCTGAAGTGTTTCCAATATTTGTAGCCGGCACTGCTATTCTTTCAAAGCAGAAAGCTCTGAGCGTGGATACGACCCTTCCAGGACATCCGGATCCAAGCTCAGTAAAGGGGCGAATTGTTACACTAGAATTCGAGACATGCTACTTGATAGGTACGTATGTCGTGAACGCTGGTGTGCAGTTGAAGGTAAGTCAGATGAATTAGAATTTTAATGCTCATTCTAAAGTGTATCCTACAGACCCTAGAGGAGAAAAAGGTCTGGAACACGCATTTCGATGCCTACATTCGCCATTTAGACAAAACGAAAGCTGTTATTTGGACCGGTGACTTGAACGTCGCTCCAACTGAGCTAGGTATGGTTCTACATCCCAACATCCCAATATGAACTATCTTTGACGTCTCCTTAACCCCTCGCAGACCTTGCCAATCCGAAACCGAATTGGAATAAAACGGCAGGATACACTGAAGTCGAAACTACTGCTTTCAAGAACATTCTTAAGCTCCCAGATCATCGTAAATTCGTTGATATCTGGAGAGGGATGCATCCGGAGGACCGACAATACACTTATTTCTCTTATAGATTCAATTGTAGACTCAAAGGGATAGGATGGAGAATCGATATGTGTACGTGCCATCCTCGACGAATACAGCCGGTTGGTAAAACTGATCTTTTTTATCCTACAGTTGTTCTGAGCGAACGATTATCTGACCGCGCCAAGATGGTAAGACAATTGACGCTTGACTCTAAGTATACTACCGTTGATTATTGGTTTTTTTAGTGTGAAATTCGAGGCGAAATTTACGGTGCCTCAGACCATTGTCCTTTAGTGTTGGAAATTGAGGGACCTCTGTGATTCCAATTCTAATTATTTTGTTAAATGGGAGACGTGATCTGATGTAATTCAATGTAATACGCGTTGGCGTCATATAAGTTTTTCAAATAAGGGACACCTCATGTGTTGCTATAGTTCCCAACAAATTCAACAGGGGGCATAGCTCAGTTGGGAGAGCAGTAGACTGAAGTTGCGTGTAATCTAAAGGTCCCGCGTTCAATCCGCGGTGCCCCCAGAAATGAAGCCAAGGAGACTTCTTTTTTGGCGTTCTTGATTCTCACCTCCTGTAAGGATTATTCCAAGTGTATAGCAAGGAAAACACAATCATTGTCAGGGGGCATAGCTCAGTTGGGAGAGCAGTAGACTGAAGTTCTGTGTAATCTAAAGGTCCCGCGTTCAATCCGCGGTGCCCCCACTATGGCAGCCACACCACGTCAAGGTTGAGTGAGGCCTTGAGGGGTCTACTTTTTTGCGTGAACGCCACAATCCCATGCAACTTTTAGTTGGTTTACATGAATGATATGATGAATTTGAAAATATTGTATGCAATTTCGACGCTCAGATAGGTGTTCAAAAGACCGATATAAATGAGACGAGCAATCATTGGTATCGTTGCAATATTGGAAGGAAGTAGTGGTTGTATATACCGTGTCAATACTCTCCAAAGCGGACATGTCCCGTCTGTTCAGCGTGGGCACGAGCTCCCTTCTCGCCTTTCAAGCCTTGTCCACAATCCTAGAGAGAATGATAAAAATAAAAATAAGCGTTAGGGGAGCAACGATAGAACAAAGACGATCAAAGACTAACTTCGCACTTGAGATCAAAAGTAGAGGTATTTGTGAAAGCCTTCTTCCCGCGCAATATGGTAGCTAATTTTTTTGTGGCAACAAGGATTGGATCTGAATCGTCGGAAGAGTTCTGATATCGAAAAGCAAAATAGGAATCAGGCGATGATCTTTTGTTGTTTAGGAAATTATAGGCAATAAGCTTACCACAGGAAACAAAGTTTGATGCCATTCGGTAGGTGCATCCACTACAGGTGTCAGAGATGCAGCATCATAGTGTATACCAGAGTATATTAAAATACAACGCATGGCACCTCCGGCTTCGCTTGGTGAGAAATGGTCTATCCTCCCAGTTTCAACGTCGATGCTTGCGATCTCGGTGCGGTAGTGCGCTGCGAGGATTCCAAGCTCGATGGCACCTCCCCATGAGGTAGGATTGGAGATCGTAGCGATGTACTGTGACGTTGGCATTCTAAATTGTTCAGAATGAGGTAATAAAAGGTGAAGGAGATGAAAACGGACTACCCCAGAATGGCTTCATTGTAGGTATCTGGGTTATTTCGTATACCGTCTACTACAACTGAGAAAAATGAATCAAGTGTGTGGACGTCGAATAAAAGGAGGTTGAACGCGTACTTTTGCGCATGTCTGACGCTTTTGATATGGTTTGTTCAAATACAAGGGCGACGGAGGAGAAGAGGCATGAGTTATCATCTGGTACAACCTAACGTTCCTGGGGTGAGTAATAACATAAAAGAGACAACGCAAGCTGTGCTTTTACTCTGTGGATAAGAAAACTTCCGTCAACTTTGATATAATCTGGCCCTGAAGTTGGCTGTAATATTGGTGCAGGTAGAGGCGGCTGGGTTGGGCCGGATACAGGGCCGGATGGGGGCCGTATACGCGTATCTGAATTGGGTAGTACTGGTACTTCGCTGACAATGATTTGATCGCCTCGCTGCAAGCCAAGCGAGTTAAAAGGAAGCTCTGGGACGATTGTAAGTGCGCGTGGTGGATAACCCGATTTGACTAGAGATGAGAGTGGGTGACAATTTTGATTCTGATAAGTAGAAAAGACGGACGAATTTGTCTTGAAGGAAGGATCTGAGTTTTAGCGTATATTTCTTGTTGGAGGTCTTGTACTGTGAAATCAGTGTTATCAAAGAGGACCTCTATGGTCGAGACACCCTTTGGATGTCGAAGTCGTATTGGTGGCATGATCTAAAGCGAGATTGGTCATCTGTTGATCTCCTTGTTTGTCCTCCAAGTAAAGCAAGTAAACAGCTAATTCTGGATTAATGAAAGTTGCGCTGGTGGATCCGCGACTTTGTATGGCCCGATGCGTTATTTTAATGCGTCACTCTCTACGTCACTGTCTTCCAGCAAAACCTATAAAATGGCTTTGTAGTATCGTTCACTTTCTCTACCATTCCCCTCAAAATCTAAATACTTTCAACTCAAAGTACGTTCCCGCTCTGTGCACTAGACGATCCGTCGACGTATTGACCACCGTTTTCACCCAGCTTAACAGTACAATATGTCTGACACCGGCCGTCAATCATTCACCGACAAGGCGACTTCTGCCATGAAGGTTTGTCGTATATAGCCGTCTTGACCATGTCATGTATACTCACTGTTTGGCATGCGCAGCCCGACTCTCAGAAAGGTGTTTTCGAGCAGGCTAGTGACAAGGTCAAAGGCGCCATGGACTCTGGAGTCTCTACTATGCAGCCCAACGTTAGTTTTTCTTCCCTACCCACCGTTCGTACCAGATACTGACTCAATTTTACAACAGAGCCAAAAGTCCGGCTCCCAGAGGGTCGGTGATAGCATGAGCGGCAACTCCAACGAGAACCAGGTTAGTACAACACATCGTTCTTACCGCGCCGGAATATTGATGCAATTTTTTTTTGGCGCGGAATAAGGACTCGATGCTCAACAAGGCCAAGAACGCTGTCGGAATGGGCAACAATAACAACAACTAACTTAATCGCATCACAGTGCGATTCGTCATTAGTTTTGTAAAGTAAAGTGAACTGCCAACAAGCCGTATTCTGTTCCATGTAATAACAACTTCAATGCAATTGCTGTACCCTCAACAAAAAATCCACAACTTTGCAAAGTCTACCAGCTGCTATCTTGAGACGACTCAGTTTTACTCGAGTATATAATTGTGTTACAAGTATCTTGTCTATGCAGTGTATAAGCCATAGCGACGAAAATAAAAAGCAAGCGATATGGAGAACTCCTTGATACTGGTCATGATGCCGTAACCGGTGTCCTCGATGGCTCGCGGGAAATGGGATCGGCCACTGGCTGTTCTCGAGGAACCCCTAATTCCTCGCCTATAGCCTGAACATCTTTCAATCGTTGAGCTGTTTCAGCTTCATCCACCAAAGCTTTCCATTCCGCCTCTAACTCATCGTCGTCCACAATGCCGTCGGTTCCTAGAGCAATATCACCGCTCATACGAACAGCATCGTCGACCTCACGTGCATCAAGGTTAGCTTCACTAAGAGCGTCCATCGTTTTGTCAATACTATCCCGTTGTAACGAAGGATGTGCGAGGATAGCTCGAAGCGTAATAGCAGATGAGTCGTAACTCTTCATGATCTAATCAAAATTAAAATATTCATGAGAACCGCGAGCTGTGTCAAAAGAGAGAAAGAAAAAGCCAAGAACCTCAATATCACCAACAGCAGCTTCAACGCTGATAAATGTGGATTCTAGTGTGCTCAATGAACCGAGTCGTTTAGACAGAAGATCTTCAAGTTGTTTCCGAGATCGAATATAAGTGAGTGCTGCAGATTTCCGTTTCTGCTGAAGGGCAGACGATGCCTTTCGCGTGCACCTAGCATTTATTGGAAGATCATAAAGAGAACCGGTCAAGGAAAAGTAAAATAGACTTACTCGTCTATTTTAGACTGTAGAACTTCTACTTGAGTATGAAGGTTGTGAATTGCGCTTTTGAGTTCCAATATACCCCGATCTACAGCCGTGATAACACGAAGTTCAGGCAATGCATGTGCTTCAACGAACTTGATGATCTAGTAACAGAAAAAGCACATCCAGTTCAGTACTAATGAAGATGACTGATCCCCAAAACTTACATCTTTGTCTACCACCACCACTTGGCGATCACGTTCCAAATACTTGAGCAATGTTTTCGCATCTAAATCTCGTAAAGGAACGTCTTCATCACCTCCAGCGACGCCAGCAAAAGTCTTTCTAAAACTTTCCATGGTATATAAAGCATCCCCAGCACTGGCATTTTTGGCTTCCTGCCTTTCCATCACTGCGTCTGCTGCCCCCTCCACAATGGATATCATAACATAGTCACCCCACCAAGTGATATCTTTGTGATGGTGTTGCCTAGTTCCAGAGCCCAAGAGGCCTTCCTCACCTACAATACCCATTTGCTCTAGTGCCCACCAAAGTGGTTTCCCAACAACATAAGCAGCGATACGAACTGGCAGCCAGCCAGGGTCGTATATAGAAACTTTGGCGTTCATAAACTCAGAAAAAGAAATGATGGACTTGGTGCTCCTTAGTTCAGACTTTTCTAGTGCAGGTCTTAATCAGTCAAATTATTTTTCACACTTTCAAAAGAAAGGGGGTTGTTTGTATGAAGACGTACAATAACTGCACCGAGGGCAAGTGGTTTACCCACTCTGGGTAATTTGACGAGTTCTAGTAACTCACGTCCTGCATGTAACACCAGTCTATCACTTTTTGAAGTTTCATCGATAGTATGCTGTGTTTGTAACCCAGAGCTAACGATAACTTCAAGCCCTTTACGCCACCATTCAATGTTAGAGTGGTATGAGGTTGGATTTGATTGTTTTTGGCGGGAGAAGTCGGAGTAGAGGGCTTGTAAACGAGGCGTAGAGGTTGTCGAGTATGGCGGGATAGATAGCATTGGCGTAGATGGCGCCGAGATCGACATGGCAGTGGCTTCAGTTACTTACCAGTACTTGAGTTCTTAAATGGAGCGTAGCGTCACGTGCTCATCGCGTAAACATTTATAGTATCATTCATTGATCATTCACCAGTTGGAAGTACATTTTAGCATACATACATATCGATTTTATCAGTTCAAACTTCGGGCCTTCCTGAATACGCCCCACGCGGAGCTTGTGCAGTGCCATGATTCTGCGATGCCCCGCCAAACTGAGCAACACTGAGAGAGACACTTTCCAAAGATCTCTGACCGGGGAGGGTAGTATAAACGCCAGATGTAGTCAAAGGAGATGCAGGGAATGTACTGTTGTCGGAGGTCTGTGTGATATTTTGTGAATGGCGTGTTCCCAAATAAATATAAAACAACTTACGTATATGCTTTGAGAAGGAAAGGATGAAGGACCCGTTGATCCAGTAATCTGTTGAACGGCCGGTCCAGAAACTAGAGCCTGGTGATCAAAGGTGAGGTCCGTTTGAATCATATTTCGCCTTCTACGCAGGTACCATAGCGCAGCCAGAGCATTAAGTGCTATTAACACAAGTCCACCAACTACGCCGCCAGCGATCGCTCCGGCGTTGGGTTGCGATTTCCTCACTGATTGGGAGGTGGATGCGGTTGACGAAGAAGTGGAAACTGGTAATACTATACTAGCCGTTGGAGCCGACGAAG